TCAGTGGTAACGCCCCTTGATAATGCCCTGACTGAGATTTAGCTAACGTGGCACAAACCAAGGTTTGAAGCCAGGTCTCACTTACGATTCTTTCACACAAAGTGGTGGCTTTACCAACTGAGCTGCCGGCAAGAACAACTCATTTTTCATTCACAGCACTTTCTGCACAAATGTTTTAAAAATGTTGGGCTTTTTAATATATAGGTAGAATAGCTCATCAATATCATAATAATCCTTGTATTTTACGTTATTTTCCAACATGACTGGAGTTTCAAACGATACATTGCTGTGCATAAATTGACTGCTGCATTTGTCCATAAATTCGTAGTTGCTAAAGCCAATAGCGATCACCTGTGAGGTATTTAGAGACAAGTTGATGGTATAGGCACAACATTAATAATAATAAATAATAATAATCCATCCATTTGCTATCATGTCGTTGAGACTTTTCAAAGCGCTTCACAGAATCCACCAATCGACCGACAACCGGGTTCCTACGTATTGCGTCCGGAGTAAGGAAACTTGCCTAAGTTTTCACCCAGCCCGGGAATTGAGTTTTCTCACTTGCGAGGTTCAGTACAGGACTTCACATATGCTACAGGACATTAACTGCAAGGATTATTACAAAGAGTTAAAAAAAAGCATTGCATTGTAAGGTACAGATTTACAGATGCAATCAGATCTCTGCTTCGTAGTATTAAAATCATTTTATTCCAGTGCTTCATTTTTTGCTGTTAAAATTGAGACAATTATAATTGCAGGCCAGCAATTGACTAAATTAAAAACGTTCATCAAATTCACCCGAGTTCTAAAAGGCACTTTTATGTTTGCAAATATTTCATGTCTGTCTAAGAAATTACATTGGCCGTGAATGTAGTTGACTACTTTTACGTTATCATTTTTAATCAGGTAATCCTAATTTTGGAATTCCAGCACGTTCAGTTGCAGTGACAAGTGTATGAACAATTTTCCCCTCATAAATGTGATAGTCGCGTAACTCATGAGCCTCATGCACACGATCACTCTCGCAAGCTAAGGCAAAAAAAAAAGTGGTGCAGTGTCTCCAACAAAGTGATAATTCACCACGATGATGTATCATCTTGGTGTTTCACTGAGTGAGTTATTAGTTCAGAATTAGTTACAATAACCATTGCACAAGTTGTGGTTATAATATACAGTGATATATGGGTCTATAAAACAAAATGAATTATTCCTCAGGAAAGGCTTTGCTTCATGTTCGTGGGCTTCACAATTCGGGTGAAGAAGGCCTTTTGGTCCATTTGATTTCACGTATCCAGAATACCTGCCCTACTGTGATAAATAATAATAATAATAATAATCCTTGCATTTGATATAGCGCCTTATCACATCTTCTAGACATTTCAAAGCACGTCACAGAATATACTGTAAAATAAATTGACTATATTTTGTGGGTGCAATGCGGCAGCCAATTGTGCACAGCAGTGTCCCACAAACAGTCGTGGATTGAGTGACCAATCATTTTTATTTTTTTGAAGGAATTATTACCCTCGGAAAAGCGAGACCCCCCAGAGACTTTTCAAAGAGCTTCATAGAAACCTCCAATCAACTAACAATCGGGTTCCTACTTACCGCTAGGTAAATAGAGACGTGGGGAGTAAGGAAACTTGCCCAACGTTTCGCACTGCCGGGAATCAAACCCAGGTCTCTTGCTTGCGAGGCGAGTGCTCTAACCACTGAGCTACAGGACTGTAATGTTGCTTTCCATCTTTCAGTCATGCATCAAAGAGCCTTTAGCCACCATAAAGCTGATAGTGTGGCGTCTGTGACTCTGACTGTGAAATCGGGGAGAAAAGAGTAGTGTTTAAACATTAAACCACTAGGGGTTGTTCTCTAAAGACCACTAGAGGACCTCAATTTACAATTCACCTTGAAGCGATTCACATTATATGAGCTGTGAGCAGGAAATGTAATGATTTCCAACAAAGGAAGAAAGTCAGAAATAAAGGTGTCATGGAGAAATGCTCCAGAGTTTGATGCTGAACTAGGGATATCTTGCAATGATAACTCCAGGCACCTTTTCTCCATCATGGCTTCTCCATCCTCATCTTCATCACCATATGTGAGGGGGATTATGGGCTTCCTGGTGTCCCAAATTGAAAAGATACCAAATCTTCTGGCTCTCCTTCCTCCACATACCCAACCTCCCATGCTCCTCAACACCCCTTCCCCCTAACCCTAACCCTTCACATCTTTTTACTCCAATGCTACCTCATCCATTCCAGCACCTTATAGAGGAAGGGGGGTTGGAAATATGGGGTGAGGCAAAAATTCAAAAACTTGGAATGGTCAAGTGTGTGTTTTTTGAAAGGAGACTTATTGATGACAACATTGAAGTGTTTGGGAGAGGGGTGGGGGTTGATGACATGTCCAGAGGAAAGGGATAAGTTAATGATATTGGATACCGAGAAACAGCAGGGTCGCAGGAGCTGTGTGGGGATTGAGTCAACTGAGCAACAAC